CGCAATATCAAGCAAATTTTAAATAATAATAATAATAAATTTTCCCTTAATTATCTATTTATGCCTTCAGGCTGCCCCCTCTTTTTCAATATTGTAAATTACAATATGAAGTGAACTTTTTATCTAAAACAATTTTATAAATACGTAATTCGTTCGCGCCTGATTCACCTATATGCCCGGTCCGTTGGCAGGGGCGGCCCAAAATGGAATCTGCATTTTGACTGGGTCTGACCGCCACATGATGGCCCTGGTCAGACGCTGGTCAGGCCACCAGACGGTCAGACGGCGGTTAGACTGCCTCGTAAGGGCTCTGGTCAGACTCTAGTATGGCTTCCCATGATGACTCTGGTCAAACGCTGGTCAGGTTGATTCATGATAGTATTGGTCAGACGCTGGTCAGGCTGCCCCTGACCACCAGCGCCTAGTTAAGCGCTGGTTAAGCTGCCTCATGATGGCCCTGATCAGACGCTGGTATTTGAGCGAACTATTACCATTTCACGCAAATGAAATAGCGTTAATATATGAGATAGTGTATGCTAATCCAGTCATAAGATGGAACCATATGAGAATTGACTTTACCAATTTATTGAGCTAACGTTGTACTTAGGTGGTAATATTATTTAGTACAAGACGAAAATAATTTTCTGACATAAAACTCTCAATTTTTCATTCAACTCTATTTTAAGACCAGAGTCTTCTTGGAAGTGTGGAAGCATGTTTAAAGGGTGAAATGGGAAATAAATATCCGATAAAGAGACGTGTAAGCAAGAAACTTCAATGCCTGTACATAATCCGCTTGTGTAACGCTGCCAGAATAGGCAAGACAGCATTTTACCCATAATTCTGAATTTTAAACGCGTCGGCTCTATTATACGTTGGACGTACTTCATTAGGTGGATTTCAATTTTTAATTCAGAATGCAATAGACTCTCGTAAGAATAAATACCCCCTTAGCCGCAAATTGAATGTGGTTAATGTTTAACAAAACATTCATTACGACGAATTTTATGAGATTTTTCAATTTTCCGTTGGACGAGATTATATATTTCAATTGCGTTTCCTTATGATTGCATTACATTTTTGCCCTTGTAAAATTTGATTACAACTAATGTAGAAAACGTAACTCGTAATGAGTTACGGCATAACAATATTGAGCAAAACAACATCTATTTGAACGAATCAAATTATCATCTGTAACATAATTCAGTTCAACAATGTGTTTCATAACAAAATGAGTGCCACAATTACACATGAGTGCCATATAATTAGTATTTTTTGGTAGAGATACTTTTTTGTATTTTCCTTCATTCAAGTGCATATGTGTGGGTTTTGGCAAGCCCTAAATTAAATGATTGCAAATTAGATGAATCGAGACATGAATTTTGTTTGGTTTTAGTTGTTATTCGACAATGATATGAAGCGAGAGGGAATAAAAACATAATTCCCTGACAAAATTTCAACACTAGGTATCACTGAATTTTGCAAATTTCCTACAAGCAATAGGCCAGAGAGCATTTTTTTTTGTTGTGACTCAATACAGTTTTTTGATAAGAGAGAAACGTATAGTAAATGTATAAGTTACTTACTTGGAATGTGTTAATCTTTCAGTTCGCATTAAAGTATTCACCAGAAATAAAAAGCTAATCGTGTACATAGATAAAATATCGTGAAATATTTTAACAACCCCTTTTATTCCTGTTGAAAACTACACAAGCTAGAAAAGACAACGCATTATCAGCTTAAAAACAACCTCAAGAAACGCCTATCACGTGCTGCATGTTCGCTGAATACGCTGCCAACGTGTGCCGAACCTCATGCTGGATGGAGATAAGAAGCTATTTAATTTGTTCGCAGACTTAATACCGTCGGATTCCTGGAGTCATGATAAGGATGACGTGATAACCAGTTAAATGATTAGACTTTACCTTTACACTCAATTTCCTGAGACGCAACATATCTAAGCTACCTGACTGATTCTTCAAATTACCAGCTTAATAGTAAACAGGAACGTATGTAATGCAATACTGAAATAAGAATCTGTTCTTAATTAAACAATAGCTGTACGTTCTTCGGTTCACAAGTCCAACGAACGTTCTCCATTTCATAAGTGTTATCATAGATATGTGGTTACGCCACGTAGCTCGATTTTCAGATGCAAGCTGATTTTTCTTGAGGGTCTGTTTAGTTGTTCATTATGCCGAATTTACTGTACGTTCATATTTTGTAAAATATCAATAACTGTCGTACAGAATGTGCGAGTTCGTCATTTATTTTCGAGGAGGACCAACATTTTTCTTAATTGTTTGGCTTTACCCTATGCTAATAGTTTAAAGATTGCAACGCTATAGTTTCAATCATAAATTTCTACCGCAATTTAACAAGATTGATTCCTTCACCATATTCCTCTTATGCTGAACTGCCGTGCATACCACTCAAATCAGGCTTATCTTCATAATTTATTTTGGTTGAACTATTATAGGCTACAACGTTGCGAAGTTTCAAGAATTAATGTTAAAGCGGAGCATTGAGTTCATCTCACGTCTATACCACGCTTTAGCTCGTTCTGTGTTGTTGCACTCTTACAACAACACTTAAAATGGCTAGTATGATCCCGCATGAATGTGATGTTCTTTTAGCCATTTTCAATCTATGTATTTTGAATGCATTCGTTTGTTTTCTTCATACTTATATTCAAGAATGATGTGTCTTAAACCAACTCCTTTTCTATTAAAGCGAAGATAAGATAAAGCACTACTTGTACTCTTGACATTACGTACAGTGGTGATAAGCATAGCTGCTGATTCGGGTATCAATGGTGAGAGTCTAGGGTGAACACGTTGTAAATTAATCGGATGAGCAACGGAAATCGATGTTCTTTGCAACGAATTGTTCGCCACATGTCACTCATAAAGATTACGTAGAATTGGTTTTTTATATAATTGAACTTTTTTTCTGGAGTTCATGAAAGATGATCTTCTTTTACATTATCCGAATAGTCATTACAACTGCACGATGTAGATTTTAGGTGATTGGTAACAGCATTCTAAATACCTCCATCATCTCCTTGTATTGATGACAATTCTGTTTGTTGCAAATAATTAATTTTTCTAAGACATTTTAATGTATGGTTCAGTGTTATAGTTAAAACAATTTTGTACACTACCCCCAACTGATTTTATTGCGGTCCTAGTAACTATAATCCGGCCGACGTCACCGTCGTCTCTAGGGTCAAGTTCAGTGCACGAGCTCGTCACAGGCTGCACTGTTTTCTGTAGGCTTCATTTACTGTTCGTTTGGCCGTAGCTCCATTCAAGTGAGATAAAATTTGAAATTTTTTCATGATTATACAGTTTTTTTTAAATATTGGCCACTGAAAAAAAAGGAAAAATTGCTTTACATTAATAAGCATCGAAAAAGTCAATTTTGCATTTCGTTGGTGGATCACCGAGTACCTTTTAAAATTTTTCCCTCTGTCAGAATATTTGTAATTTCTTCGCAGCTTTAGGCTCTATCATGTTTATTGGCAATCGACTTTCTATTCCTTGATGTTCTAGACCAAATACAATATAATCCAAACGAGGAACGCCAATCCCTTAGAGGTACGAACCGGTGAATGCTGAGAAAATTAAATTGTCCTACTGTTGCTCCCTGACCCAGAAATCTATTGAGGTCTGATGAGCCTAGCTTTCCTTCCCACCACCTCAGGCTCTACAACTTTAGAGGCCAGGGCGTGTGAAATAGGTTAGAATTTATTGAACCTCTTTTTTAGCCACAAGATTTCTACAGGTTAAATCCATATTTTTTCACCTATTGCGTGCTTCTTGCGATGCCATTTTATTTTATTTAATGATAAATACATTTGATAAAGCGCGCGATGATATTTCGATGCTGTGTAAAGATTGACCGAGATAGCAATCAGAAAACAAGTTAGTGGCGCATATTGATACAAAGTTGATACTTTCTACTTCCAGACCTGATCGGCAAATACGTAGTTTCGGCCAATGGAGAGGTAGAGTACAATGGTTGCCTTACAAAGTAGCTATACAAACTATTCATTGTACATCATCTCATAAACAGAATTAGTGCTAAACTTTTTCACGAAATAGATGAAATTAGTTTTTATGATGATGATTTTTTCTTTCAGAACTTTCTATAAATGTTCAATGTTTCAGAGGTACAGTATTTTGAAAAATTCGCTTCTTACTTTGGATTTCAGTATTACCAATATTAAAATTTTGAGAATATCTTTTGACATCACCATGTTGGCATGGTGATGTCCACTTCATGTATGAAAACATTGTCGCCCAATACTAGATAAAAATCAATATTCCTTGTTTGTATTCCAGAACAATGCGTTCTGACCATCCAGGAATTCGAAGCATTTGTACGAGGACGCCACTTATAGGAAAATAATAATAAAGGAAACTTTTTACACTTGTATATAGCAAGTAATTATTCAAATCAAATACACAGTAGGGTCAATTGTGGCAAAAAAAAACAAAGGTCCAACCTTACTTGGTCAAAAAAGTGAGCACAATACGGAATTGGCTGCTCTGCAAGCTGGGGAGGCTGTTGTACGCGCCAAAGTAGATACAATCAGCCATATATAAGGTCTATATTTTGCGAGTATAAAATACCTCATTGCATTCAAACTACATTACGAAAATTTATCAATTGAAAAAAATTTGACAGGCAACATATATAACCACACGGTCATAGCGCAGCCTGAAATTAAAATATATATCCAATTGGTCGAATGAGCTTCAAAAATAGACAAAAAACGCCTATTTGAAAGACGAGATACATACTTGCACAGCTGGACGCTTAAGGGTCAAGTACTGCTGCAACAGCTCAATTTTTTTTTCAAATCAGGAAAATAAAAAAATGTTGCCTATGATATTGGAAGAAATCACGTGATAAAAAAATATAAAAGATTTATTAAAAAAATATAAAATATAAAAAGATTTAAAATAAAAAATATAAAATAAAAAAAAGATTTATTAAAAATATACTTGACGCTTCATGGAAAGTGAAGGAACATAGGATTTGGTGGAGGAACATAGGTTTCTAATACACATTTCTTAACCAATAGTCTCTCTACCAGAGCGAATACTGGTTCGTATGTTCCTTTTGTTGATGTACGGAAGAGGTCGCTTTTTCATTGAAATGGGTATCCGAGATCTGATAATTCCGTTTTTGTCCTCAGAAATATCAAGAACCTCAGTTGCATGAGATGGACGAGCAATAGACTCGAAGTCATGTGACGTTTTGGCTTTTGTCGAGTCCCACGTAGAAGGTTCCGTGATTTTCGATGAATGTATTCTCACGCACTCTGATGGAGGTGCTTTTAAATCGGAAATCTTTGTAGGGATTTTTTCTACATTCAACTCTGATGAAATTTTATGCGGAGAGCCATCCGAAAATTTTGTTCGTTTTGGTTCCACTGTCGGCGATATTTTACCTGGAAGAAGTTCAATTTTTGATGTTCCTGAGCTTATTGTTGTTCGATCATTCACTTCTGAGGCAGTCATCGGCGAAAATACATTATTTTCAACAATATCCTCTGAACATCGCTCAACAACCGTGGTTCTTCTGATTTGTGGGCTGTCTCTTGCACTATTTTTTGCATGGATCAAGGGTATTGTCACCGATTCAGATGGCTGGGCATAAGAACATCTGGGACCTTGCCTTTCGAACGACTCGTAGCCTCGAGACGATCGTTTCTTTGAAGATGCGACACTGATGACTGGTCGCTGTCCCTCTGTAATCTGAACCTGGGACACAAGCGGCCGCACGTCTTCGTAAGTGTTCCGCTTGTTGCTGCAGTTCCTGAAGCGCATTGTTTCATATCCATCATCCTCTGACGAAATGCTCACCAGCGACAGCGAGTCCTCGTTCTCTACGGCGTTCAGTGCAATACCTGACAATTTGAGAATATTTGGTTTATCTAATTTCCTTCTATTTAATGTACAATTTTCTGTATTAGGTAATATGCTAAATTCCGCTTATTCACTCGGAAATCTTCTATGTGAGTTATAACTAAGTTCATTGCACTATATATCAACAAATTCATTTAAGTCACTATCGACCTTGGATAATATTTTAAATAAAAATTAATATATGTTTAATTTGCACTAAAGGGCGATATGTTCCGACGCATTCTTTGTATCTCAAGTTTAAAAAGGTTTGATCTTATATATGACCGTCTAAAGTTATTCAATACCGGTTGGAAAAGTGTGAAATCAAGAAATATAAGTATTTCTTTCACCACGAATTTTTTATCCAAAAGTAAAACAGGAAATTTTTTTACGGATTTTAAATTGAATGTTGATTCAATATAAATATTTCTTTCACCACGAATTTTTTATCCAAGCGCACAACAGGAAATTTTTTTATGGATTTTAAATGGAATGTTGATTCAATAGTATAGAAGGAGAGCAGTTATCTCGCACATACAGAAACCTACCTCTTGAAGGCAGGATTTTCGCATGTTTCAAGTAGTAGCTGAAACTCCGGACGAGGATTTCAATTTTCGCCTGTAAAATTGCGAGGAGGATTAAATGCATCATAATAGAGGGCTCAATATATGCTGATGTCGGTGATGCGCTATCGCGTAACTGTATCAATTGTCAATCGCGTTTAGGCGCTGCTTCAGCATGACCTGGAACTTCAACGTCCAAAACTCACGTCAAGAATATATTAGGAATGTTTTTCATTTTTGACGGGAACTGATGGGCTTTAAGACCAGAACTACTGATTACCACCACAGTAATACTCACTGTAGGCATCCGTTGTAGCAACATCAGGAGACTATACAAACGCTGTCTTTCCATAATCCATCATTGCCTTAATCCATCATTGCCTTAATCCACCATTCTAATGATCATTCTCCTCACCTCCGAATCCAGCATACCACACCGGAATTTGTTCAGGTGCCTGACGACTTCCATGACGTCCGTCAATTCGTCGGACAATTCGGCCTTCAGTTGCAGGAGCCAGAGCCCCAAAACCACGGCCGTTCGGCTGCTGCCATTGCTGATGATGACATTGTAGGAGATCAGTTATAATTTTCATAGACAAAGCTGGTTCATTTGATAATTATTTACACAAGGTACGATATGAAGATTATATTGCAACACTTCTCTTTAACTTCACTTATTTATTTTTTTGTTTCTTTGTCTGGCTGTTACAAATCTTAAAATCGATATTTAAAACACTTCTACCTCTCAAACCGATCTGTAATTTTGCATTCTTGCGTAAAGTTGGAGATAATGCATGAATCAATTGACAGAATAAATAATTCTGAAAACTAAAAAAATATTATTTTTAATAATAAAAAAATTTTAAAAATAATTTTTTCTGCTACATATCTTATAATCGATATTTAACACACTTCTACCTGTCCAATCGATCTAAAATTTTGCACACTTGCGTAAAGTTGGAGACAATGCACGAATCAATTGACAAAATAAATAATTTTGAGAAATTATAATTATTTTATTTTAAAAATTAAATTTATAAATTATTTTTTTTATTTGATGGTAAAATTAGAAATTCATTGTACATTTGTAACATCGGAGACACTGTATTCTTTTGAAGTGTTGTCTTTGGAAAGTAATTTTTGAACGCATGTTATTTTAGCTTAATCTCTTCGACATCATGAACGGTGATAGGATAGGATCAACATTAAGTAATTAAGTATCATGGTTGGAACCAGATTGCAATCAAAGCGATGAGCTATTGCAAAAACATGAAAATATCAGAAGCTCGATCGAATAAATTCACCTCTGAGTTATATTTAGTTAACAGTCAGTGTCATAGTTTGAAAACGCAATGAATGCTTCGTCCATTGTAAATACTGGAAAGTCGACAACATTTTTTACACTACACTATTAATTTGTTATATTCAATTCAATGTGTCTGTAAATTCGATTTTTCACACAATACGTTCATTTTTTCGCAAATTACAAATAATTAATTCATGTAATTTATTGAATAACAGGAAAGCTTCTTGGAAATAAAAACTTAAATAAAACTCAGCAAAGTGCTAATATGTGAAGAAAAAATTCCCCTATACGAGTGATCTCTGACCATCATCCATGAAGCCAGTTGTCCAGCTACTGGTAAAAGAAATTAGTAATCTAAGATAGCAAACCATTCATCAAACATAATTTAATATTCAATCAATATAATATAACAAATAATTTAATATTCAATAATATTTAATAATCAATAATATTTCTTAATCTATCCGAACCTGCAGTGCACAACCACCGTGTTGAGACCGTCAACTGTGATGCCGGAGCGAAGGTTAAGCAGGAAAGAAACGAGCTCCGCGGGTCTCACGGTAGCGTCGTCGACCCATTTGGTGAACTGAACTTGCCGCACTTCTCTTCTGGCTCCTTCCTCCTTGAAAAGATGTTATTATGACAGAGGCATTGAATTTATTAGCCTATTTATAAAATCTCGCATAAATGACACTTAATGAATCTTATTGGAGTACAGCTCAAATATTTCAGCGCAGACTAATTTATTTTTCCTTATATTTTCTGAACGTGGGCAAGAAAATTTTAAACTTAATTGTTAAGATCCTCAGAGTCTCAAAATATCCTCATTTACTAGACAGCTTTATTTAATATAATCGCTCGGTAAGTTTTTCAGAATAAGGAAAACTTCTTGCACGCATTTCAACCAGAAACAAAGGATGCTTATTTGCTTATTTATATAAATTTTTTCAATCAATTGATAAATCTTCCTTCGGAACGTTATATATTAAGCGATTACCACGAATTTTTAAATTATTCTATTTAACACCATTTGCAATGGACTCAATGTTGTTAATACGCGTCGAAATGAGGAAAGATTTAAAGTAAGTGTGACCCATTGAAATTTAAATAACATTCAAATAATGATCTACAGCTATGAACTGAATGTAATATTCTTCTATGAAACGTTAGATAATTCACTGACGTTGGTAAGAATGAAATGTCTTGATATGAAGAACTCGCTCCTGAGTCTCTTAGCAAGCGTCACTTGGATGGGGCTGCGGTACACGCCTTTAGTCCGAGAGCGCGGCCAGTACGGCTGAGCCTCCTGTTAATAGTGGTACAAGAGCAGCGGTTTCCAATATTACAATATATTGGGATTACAATAAATAATTTGAAAGCATTCACTCACTGAAAGTGAGTCAACATAGCAAAGAATATACCGGAGCAAGGGACGACTATGTTTAATATTGCTATCAAAGTTAGCTTATAGCAGTATGGGTTTGAAAATTTGTTTGTTTGAAACCTATAGTACCGCATACTCTAAGTACCGCATGCCTATATTATACCGCATACTACTTACTATACTCTAAGATCTTACAGATGTTTTACTAATAACGAATATGTGTTCTCAAATGAGTAATGGGTTAGGTATCAAATTTACTCATAAATAAATCTGAACATGCACTAAACTCGTGCATTTACTTCAAAATTCGCTCTATAAAAGAAGAAAAAAAATAACTCAGTACTCACTGCAGTGAGTGACAGAGAGCGCATTTTCTCGTCGATGAAACCTTGAGGTCACGGACGGACGGACAGACAGACAGACGGACATGGCGAGCACAATAGTGCCTTTTTTCAATAAATGAGAAAATGCGCTGAAAATGAACTAACATTCGCAAATTATATAAAATAGTCTGTTGCTAAACAATTAAAAAAATTGATTATTTCGAGTTAAACCTTTTGAAAATATTTCAAAAACCTCTTCAGTGGAGAAAGAGATATTATTTATTATATACAATAAATAGCAAAACAAACCATAACCCCATAGACCATGAATCAGCTTTGACCTGAGACTACAACGTCAAGAACATAGGTAAAAATAAACAGCAACAGTGGCGTCAAACTTTGCCAAGTGCCAACCGTCACTGCTCATCAAAATTCACAGTACTAGGTATTGTCTCAGATGTATCTTCCTTTATTAAATTCTACGCTTTCTCTATACATCTGAATTTTTTACTATTCAAATTCATTACTTTACTTCATCACGATAATTTGTTATTTATACTCACATCCTCAACGTCAAAGTTATTCATGGCTGCGATAATGCTGACTTCTTCCTGCCAAATCATGTTCCAAAAATCTTCTTCGGTATTTTCCAATGGACTTTGAGTGGCGATGAATCTGATGTTGGCCGAGAAACTCTAACGAAAATAAGTATTAGACAGAAAAGACTCGTAGCTGCAAGCACGTAAAATTCTGTAAACTGAATCTTTAGTAACTTTCATTCAAAATTTTTGATTCAAAAGTAACATTCATAATTAAATGCTTTCAGCTCATGAAAAATACACGTTTAATTCATTCTACGATTTGAAACAATTTAAAAATCTATCATCCTAATGTTCACTTATAATGTTCTGCTGGCAAAGTTTCATGCAGAACTCTCACTGTCGGGCCTAAAAACTGCATTAGATTAATATTACTCTAGGTGTGAATAATGGCATTTAAAATTACTCATTTAAATAAAATAGAAAAAGGTCATGTTTAGATGATGTGATTAATTGTTATGTAATTGCATCAGCTAAGTTAGTCCCCACATACCGGGATGTGGCTCGCGTTGATATAATCATTGGTCCCTCGGCCCCGAGGGTGCAATAGGACCCTCGTGCAGTTAACTGAGGGAACATTAGGGAGGGAACATTATGAACGTGCGGGAACATTATAAAATATACATGTTGTTTTTAGAGTTGAACCTACGGTAATCATGAATCAAGCCAAATATTTTCGAAATTTTGATCAGATTATGATGCTGTATTACGGTGAAATGTTACAATTGTTCACTTATTATCCCAGTCAATAAGGGTGACATTGTAACTATAAGAGGACTCACACGGCACGTGTTGGTTGTTGCGATTCTTCGGGATGTTCTCAGTCTGCAGCGCTTCCGTTCTTGACAGGTGCGAGTTTTCGGTTGTTAATTCCTTTATTTCGATTAGCAATTTTCCAGATTTCCGAAGCTAGATTAAATTAAATTTTGTAAACTTTTTGCATAATAAAAATCCATGAAAAAATGTTCTACAGTTATGGTCATGAAATATCAAACACATTGCTCTGATAAGAAAATTTCAACAAAATCCACTTCTGAATTATCCGAAATTAATGAAAAAAAATGTTTTATCAACCAACTTGAAATTATTCATATGTTATTTTTATTATTCGATAAAAATTGATGGTGTTTATTCAATGTGAACGCAATTGAGGTCATTGCCGTTGCCGATCGAAGAGTCAACTCCTCTATCCAATTAAGCTCCTCTATCCTCCTCTATTCTGTTAAGGACCTGTGAAGGACTATGCGTTTGTTTTACTCCTCTATCCTGTTAAGAGCCAGATATTAAACAACAACCGCGTGATTTACCCGAGTGATTTTTTAGTTGTGCAATTACAATTTATATCATTGATTAATAAAAAATGTTTTTCACCACACCTGTGTCAAGTTGTCGAGTTGAGCATGGAACCTTCCTTCATCGCAGTTCTCTCCTAATAATCTATACAAATAAAAGAAAATAAGGCTTTAAAATTTATAGAAAGATTCATATCAACAAGTCAGTCTATTTTGTTGTCGGACTATATCACACTCAATTAATTTACATACAGTAGTGTGACATGAGAAGGATGCACGTAATTCTGAGACATTCTTTTTGACGCCAATCGTAAGGTTACAGTTAGGGTTAAGGTAAGAGACTGAAAATACTTCTACGTCCCTAGCCATAATCCACGTAAAAAAATATTCAAGCTGTTCGAAAATATCAACCAATCATAGTAGCGGTATTGAGAATTGTTACTAGAATGTACTAATAAATCGAACATTTAAATTTTTATGTACAAAATTAAATGAAGATTACTTAACACCTAGCCTAACACATCTGAAATTTGCGTCAAATTTCCGTATATTTGAGTTTTATTTAATAAATGAAAAAATCGAGGTACTTATCATCATTGCCTAGAACATCATATGTTCTATCAGTCATATATTTTAAAATAGTTTCATATAACCATCACAATGAAGTGACGTCATCCTCACATTTTTGGTCGACGTCTAAATTTTATCACAAAGATAGCCATGATAACGACGACGAGGGCCACCGCGCAACTGCAGCAAATAAACGCAATAATATAATTGTCTTCACTTGAAATGTTTTCTTCGTCGGTTTTGAAAACTATTACGGTTTCTGCGCCTTTTTTTGAAGACGACGTCACACCCTGGAAAAGTTGGCATAAAATATTATTCATAAAACTGTAGTTAACGTTTCATCATGCGTAATAAAAATATTAGCATGAACTCCGGTACCTCTGCCAAAACATAATTTGCGCGCAGCATTGCTCGGCCATTTTTATTCAGGAAACCATCATTTCAAGTAGCTTAAAATTCAAGCAAACAAACTGAAATATCGAAAGGAAGTATGAAGGCGAAAACTGGCCACTGTTCAACATTTTCTATTCGATGTACATTGGTGGAAGCTAAATGATCGGAAAACCTGTTTTAATGCTTCTTATACATTTAGTATGTTTAATAAATATTCGCATGTATAGAGCACACAAAAAACAAAAGCATTATTTAATAACCAGCAATAATGCACCCACTGCATGAACAATGTTTATTGCAGAGCAGATAAACTCACCCGTACGGTGATGCAGTATTCGGTCCCTGGCGACAGCCCCGTCAAATTAACGCTCAGCGCCTCAGACGTGGAATTTGATTTTATTTTGTAGACTAAAACAAACTGTTCTGGCGAACTTTCTCTGGAGCTGACATTTTTTCTTGTGCTGGTGCTATCAGTGTTGTAGGTTTCAGCATTATTTCTGGAGTGATTAGTAGTGGTAACTCGTGACTCATTATTCGCGCTGCTGGTAGCGTCGCTTCGGGCGTCATTGCTGGCGCTAGTGCCTGATATTTTCACGGAGTTATTGGTCGCGTTATGACTTGCATTGCAGACAAAGCTGGAAACTTCGTATCTGCTGACGTAATGAGCTTGATCAGATGGCGGCATCCAGCTGACTGTCAGAGAGGTGGTCATAGCTGACACCAGAGTCAGATTCTCGGGAGCCTTCAGAGCTGACAACGACAATGAAAAAACAAATAAATTTTTGAATGAAACATTAATTTCAACATCTGGTATAGAAATTTCATTTGGCTGCCTTTTCGACCAATTCATCACATAACTCAGTGAAAATAACTATAAGTTGCTAACCGATCTCAGGCGTGGTTTGCTCGATGCAGTTCTCTTGACTGGCGTAATCATCAGCAACAACAATGACGCATAATGTGTAAGTAGTTCCTGGTGATGTGCTGATGGTGTAATTCAATTGTGTTGTTGTATTTGATGTTTTTACTGCGTCAATGGTTGAGTTGAAAGGNTGAAGAACGCCACATAAACGCTGTACTTCACACACGCTGGCAGGAGGGCAAGTTTACACTCCAGCAGCTTGAGGCTGTCCAGCGCCACAGCGGAGGCTCCAGGCGTCCAGGGGCGGAGGCTGTAGCCGCACCAGACGGCGCCCCAGGGGAGGACGGCGCGCTCACGCCGGAGGAACAAGGCGTTTTGGTGGGGAACTGCAAGGGGGGATTTTTTCACTCAAGCTGAAATTTTGATGAGAGTGAATATGAAATGCTTATGAAATGAAGAAAGCAACACTAACACAAATTATACGATGCCCAGTTTATTTCATTACGGCTGAATTTGGCACACAAACATACTTAGTGTGTTGAGTTTAGTCTAACAGAATATTATTATTAAAAAAACATTCCCAAAATACAATGATACACAAATACCTAAAATAGAATGATACACACTGCACAGACAAAATTTTACAGGTGCATCAATCAATTCAATAATTTTTCTATCGTGCAAACATTGACTTTACACTAGTGAAATAATAAATTTTACTAATAACATGTACATTTATATTCATTGTCATTAGTCTATTCATCAGACAGATGAAATTCATCGCGAAAACCCAATTAATCAATTATTCGTTCATGTAAAATCCACATCCAGATATAATCTCTCACAATTCATTCCTACAAATATTTAAATGTATTTATTATATTTTCCAACATTCATGTTAACAAACATTTCTAAACTGGCTCAAAGAGGATCTTAAATTTATGGAATATCGTGTCGAATAACCTTAGTTAAGTAGAAGGGCAAGTTGTGACATTTATTGTCACAAAAGTCTCGGTGAGCTTATTCCAAATAATCATTACTTACTATATTGAAGCAACTGATGCCCGACCCGTTTTGTTCTAATTTTATAATGAAATTAAAATCATTGATGGCGCCAATATGGCAGTAAATAAACAAAATGCAAAATATAGGATATTCGTGAGCATCTGTCATGCCACAGCCACGTTATTTACCTGGTCGATGCTGATCATCACATGAGGTGCTGGCTGACGGGAATTTATCATCGCAGCGACGTAATGATTCCAATTTGCTGACCTCAGCCTGCAACGCCTGATGACGTCAGTAGGTGTCACTTAATGTTAAAGAATCTTCAAAAATATTCACAGAAGCGCACAAACATGAAAAACAGAAGACAAGCATAAACCTAATAATATATGTTTAAAAATTAATTTTTAAAGACAACACTTCAAAAGAATCCAATGTTACAGATGTACAATGAATTTCTCATTTTATTTTCGAATATTAAAAAAAATAATTTTTCAATTTTTTTACTATACAGTTTTTTTCACAATTTTTTATTCTGTCAGTTGATGCATGCATTGCCTCCGACTTCACACAAGTGGGCAAATTTCAAATCAATTGGACAGGTAAAAGTGTGTCATATATCAGTTATAAGATTTGTAGCTGACAAAATTATTTTTTCAAATTTTTTAATATTAAAAAAAAATTTAATATTTAAAATCATTTATTTTGTTATTTGATTCATGCATTGTCTGCAACCTTATGCAAGTGTGCAAAATTTCAGATCGATAGATAAGTAGAAGTGTGTTAAATATCGATTATAAGATTTGTAGCAGGCAGACAGACAGACAAACAAGAAGTGAAGTTAAAGAGAAGTGTTGTAAAATGGTTGAGTTATTTTCAATAAGTATTTTTTGCTAAATTCTGAATATATCTTATACTTTCTATATGTTGTAGGTTATTATTAAGGCTTCATCACACATTATTTATCCGTAGAAGTGTAATTGCGTTACATTAAATACTTACGTGAATGTTTGATGTCAATGTCAATAAAATGAAAACAATTTCAAAGTTCGGAAACATTTTCGTAGGTTTCACTCCAGAGTTTCTTGGGGTTGCCAATCGCAATATTTAATTCCGTTGTGGGTGCATTATAATCGTTTTTACCTCACATCTTTATTCAATATAATACTATTGTTCTAATTATTTCGTTTGTGATTGCATTTGTTCTTTTCAAACATTCAATAAAAATCTACAGTTACATTTCACTGATTGGTTCACAATAAAATTTCAGCTATGCTCGACATTACACGAACTATTCACCTTCATCTGAGCAAAATATAGTATAACATGTAAAAATTGTTCTCTAACTCGATGAAAATGAAACTATCCCATTGCGAACGATTTAAAGACTCCACATTTCTCACTGGAACATAAATATGTTGAGCCACTTTGTTCAATTTTGCTCGACAGGTAACGTCAAAAAATAAGTAGCTGTCGTAGTCAAGTAATTCTCGTATTATATAAGGCTTTTTCCTGTCACCTACTGTGAATACCAATTTCTTGTTCAATCGAATATCGAAAACAAAATTTAATCAGGTTAACAAACAAATTGTCAGTTAACCACACCTGTTAACCTTTTAAATTATCGTTCATCTTTGGAATTGCGAAAATTCAAATCCCTGATATTGGTAGTGATCATCATTTCGACTATCGTAATTTCGAAGACCGTAATTCAAGCTCCATATACGTAAATTCTCCGGCTAGGATAATATTTTTTTATTGAATTTTAAAATCTGAGTATAAAGTATGCGTGGACCCTCGGTGAACGTTGCCCTCACAAATGCAACTTGTATACTGCGCGTAAAATTCCCCTAGAAACAATTGCACAGTCATCATGAACTACAATTGGGTTTTGCTGAATCCCGTAAGCCTCCAGATTAGGTAGGAATTAATTATCTAGTGATAAGCGGGCAAGTTCACTTTGATCATCACATTAGGTGTTTTTCTAATCAAGGCTGACTGCAGTAAAACGTTATTAATTCATATCACGGCTAATAATCCATTTTCGCTTTGAAAATATTCGTATTATTAATTACAAACCTTAATCGGATAAACTCACTTTGCAGTAATAATGCGCATTTGAACAGCCGATTTTCGGATAAGGAAAACTTTGATGAGTAATAAAATATAATGCATTGAAATAAATCATAAAATTGATTCAATTGTAGATAAGTACATAATGTTAAGGATTAATCTCTTTATCAAAAATAGATTCGGCCCCACCAATGATAAGACTGAAATTAATCATCAAATAATAATTGAATTATGTGCACATTAATGAACGAAAAATTAGGAGCCTAATTGATTCAGATAATATTTACTACGGAAATAAATAATTTGTGGAAGAAAGTATCTAGTTGAACGTCAGGATATTGATGATCCCCAAATGTAAAAATTTAACTCAGTACTCACTGCAGTGAGTGACAGAGAGCGCATTTTCTCAGAATCGACGAAAACTTGAAGTCACGGACAGACGGACGGACGGATATGACGAGCACAATAGGGCATTTTTTCCATAAATGAGAGAATACACTAAAAAGGCATTTAAGACAATTTTTTCTGAATAGATTTGAATATGTAACCCGTAACCTTGACTGTAACGTAGACGCTCGTTGAATTAGAAAAAACTAAATATCGAGGACGATTGATGTTCGAAACAATCTTCCAATTTTGATTCTGAGTTTCGTGTTGTCCTCGCGAGTAAATTGTAATTTATGCTCTATTACGATCTTTGATCAAAATTTTGGTTTATTTAAGCAGCTCCCTGCTGCTTATGGCTCATAATTATGTGTGGACAGTTATGAGCTTGATTGAATTCTGTTACTAAATATTTGCCATGTGCAATGTCCATTGATAGAGGGCCTCTGAATTTTGTGAATCAACATAGAATTTTGTTTACGCTCACATATATATCGTTGGATGATAAAAATGGATGATAAAAGTATGACCGAACTGTAGTATCGACTTCATTTCAACAAAATATCAGAAACGACTTGAAACCGATGGTAATTTCATACCCATTTTACTAATCGCAGTAGCCCAAAAACAACCTCAAAGCTTTGATTTCGACTAGTGCCTAGAACGGTATAACACTGCTACACCCAAACAGACGCTACGCGTATCTTTACTTACCTATAGTTCTGAAAACGACAACATTTAAAATAATGGGAAATGTATTCTTTCAAATTACGGCATCGTTCCTGCCTGTTCCCGTCCACACAGTGAGAGCTTTTTTGGTCTTGATTATTTTTCTTCAACTCGTAATCCAGTTATTTGGTCAACTCGTAATCCAAGAGGTGGTTTATAAAGTACAAGTTGACGCAAATGAGTTCCTGAATTGGAATCTGGTACGTCATCCTAATTTTTTGTGGATTAAATGACTCAGAGCTGAAGCTACCTAATCCTCGGCTTGGATATACAGTATCTTATCAGCATGTATTTATATGCTACTACTCGTATAATCCACAAGGCGATAAGTACCCTACTAAAATGCGATGTAATGTAATGTGTGTATTGTAATATCTTTTATAGCGTACTGATTAAATCTGAACGAAAATCAAATAGTTTGCTTGGTTTAACTCATATTCTTCATATGTAAAATACAAGGTGAAGTTGAAATGATTTCCACAGTAAGTTATTCAGGATTGGAAGGAAATTCACTTCTCACTGCACTACAAAACTTTCTGTAAAATCATAAAGAATACAATAATAATGATAAATACGCATAATAAAATACGCTTCTGGTTATTAACAAGAATAAATATAAACATGTATATATGAAATTGTGAAGCAGCTGACCATTGTGCTAGAAATGATTGCCAATGTCGTATGTAGATTAAGAGTTTAAAATAGTTGTTATAATTATTCTTCAATTAAAAAAATAATTAGACTATGATGCAGAAGTTTATTAAATCAAAGAAACATGTTATTAATCTTTTGTTTATCAGCCATGCCGGAGCTCCAAGTTTCCGGAAAGAGAATTGATTATATGTATTTTTTACGTAAATGCCTAGCAATAAAGCAGGGCTAATGCCCTCACGTGATTGATTGATAACGGCGATAACACGTGCATAGAAGCTGCAGTGTTGGCTCTGACTTGGTGGCGAGGAGTGTTGGTAGTGCAATCTTTTATGTGATGATATTCTTTTCACACTAAGATATCTAAGGATACATATTAATTCTCGACTTTTCGAGAGCTCTTAAGTTAGAAATGCAATGGCTCACAAGACATACATTAACTTTTGATGTCCCGAAAATGCAGATAAAAGTGATATTAGAAGATATTGATAACTTTAAGTGACTCAAGAGAAAATCCAGTAATAATGTTTGATAAACTTGCCTTTACATTAATTGTATTGTCGCTTACATCGAACATCTACGTAAGTACTATATTTAATGTCCAATTGTAAATGTAAATGCTTTGGGTGTCTTAAAAAATTAATAATGAAAGAACAATACCAGTAAACTATTGCTCAATAAATGAAAGGAGAATATGATAAATTGAGAAGATAGTTTATAAGTACTTATAATGAATGCATTCTTTCAAGTATATATTTCAAGCTTCTGTTTCTATTCTGCTGGCTGATTCATGATTGCGACTGTTCCTGTAGGAAAAAATCTGGTAGTTTCCATTAATCCAATCATAGCCGTAAGTTATCGTAATTATAGCATTTTGAATCGAAATATTACCTGTGTGGAACCGATTTGAATTCTCTTTGATTCAAAATAATACTAATACCAACTGACGTCACGTGCGTTGCAGGCTGAGGTCAGCAAATTGGAATCATTACGTCGCTGCGATGATAAATTCCCGTCAGCCAGCACCTCGTGTGATGATCAACATCGACCAGGTGAATAACTTGGCTGTGGAATGGAGTGATCATATGGAGTGGTCAATATCATATACTTTGCTTTTCAATTACTTGCTGCAATATTGGCCCCAGCAATGACGTGCTGTAGGAATTTCTTATCGGCAATATACAATTCAATCACGTCAATCACAGTGCTTCAATGTAGTAAGCAATGAGTGATATTTGGAAGAAGCTCACCGAGACTCTCAAGACAATAAATGACATAACTTGCACTTCTACCTTCCGAGGGTTATTCGACACGAGATTCCCTAATTTAAGATAATTTTTGAGCCAGTTTAAGAAATGTTCGTTAACATGAATGTTGGTTGAGAATGTGGACATGAATGAATAATTTATTTCATTTCATTTTCGGTATATCTACTTTTTTATTATTAATTTTGCTATATTTAACTCAATATTTAGGTGTCAAACTCAGCCTTAATGAAATAAATTGGTCATCATATAATATGTGTCACTGTTCCTTTCTTTATTTTATAAGCATATCATATTCACTCACATCAAAATTTCAGCTAGAATAAATATCCCCCCTTGCAGTGCCCACCCAAAGCGCCTTGTTCCTCCGGCGGGAGCGCGCCGTCCTCCCCTGGGGCGCCGTCTGGTGCGGCTACAGCCTCCGGCCCTGGACGCCTGGAGCCTCCGCTGTGGCGCTGGACAGCCTCAAGCTGCTGGAGTGCAAACTTTCCCTCCTGCCAGCGTGTGTGAAGTACAGCGTTGAAGTGGCGTTCTTCATGGGAGATGGGAGACTACAGAACAATTATTCAAAGCCAAGAACTGGAAATGGTGAGTGCGTCTCCGACCTTCAGTTGAATCTTAGTTGTCTAATGTGTTTGACTAAGACACTAAAGAGTAGGAACTCGTGAGTTGAACGACGAAGCGATGCGTAATGCGAACACCGAGCTCGTCGTTATTTATTTATATTTATCACTGACAATTACTGATGTCTTGATGTACCTTTCATATATGTTAAGAAGCATTATCGTAAATAAATGGGAAACCAAATGTTACGACCAGTTTAACTAGAAGTCAAATTTTTCGTGCTGTAAAACGGAGATTTACATAGTTCATCGTTGCTGACTATTTTATTCAAAATCGGATAAATCTGTTGATGCATCAGCTTCATTTTCCTTGATAAATGCCAGGAAATGGTGTAAAAAATATAGATCAGGACTCACTGCAGTGAGTGACAATGAGCGCATTTTCTCACGTCCGTCCGTCCTTGAACAGACGGGCCTTATTTGCGCCTTATTTTCCATAAATGAGAAAATGCGCTAAAAAGATTCTAAAATAACCAGATGAGAGCACGAGGAGCGAAAAATTTTACTTTCTGCTTGGTCGATTGCCGATGAGATCGACGGCTTTTGGCCGTCGAACGTTGAAATTCAAGTTAGGGTCATTTATGAGAAAGAATTTTCGTCATCATCGATGAGTCTATTTATACTATTTGAAAAAATTTGCCTTTCCATTGATATCTGTTCCATCAATTTAAAAAAAACTATAGTAGGTAGTAACTATACATCTTCTTGTAATAATATCCGACGACAACATTATCTTTAATTCGCGATCATAAAATGCATTATAACGCAAGAACGTCGTGACTGAATCATGTGATATGCTTCCACCATAAAAGCATGTCACGCAATGTTGTAACGAATTTCCAGCAAAATCGTGTGCTGATGAAAATTAACTTCTACTTAAGCTCGAATTGATTATAATCCTCATGCTTGCGGTTAGGCAATTTATAAAAATCGTCTATTTTTTCTCACTGCGACGGCTCTTAATTCGAGCGATTGGATAGCGAATCGATGGATTCTGTAGTTCACCTGTAGCCAAATAGACAACCGTAGCCACCTATTTGATACTACGCATTTACAATATACTGGGTTAAATGCATACAATGTTATTGTAAACAAATTTTTGAGCTCAAATGAAACTTGAAATTTGCATGCGTATATTTCAATCAATCTTGCAATCTCTTGGTTTTATTTTAAGCCGCCGAATCCTTTTATATTCTGCAAAGGTTATTATTCTTGATTTTCTGATAACTACATTTTCATTACCTGAATGAACCTAATCGTTATTTCATACACTATTCCGATCAAATTTCAAGAGTTGTCGGAAATTGGAGAAAAGTCCGAGATAAACCAGTCGCAATAGCTCGTATTTTCCCTGTTTTACTTTTGTGAAAGACTCCAGAGGCACAATGAAAAAAATAAGTTTCATTGAAGCTTCTAATAGCTGGTTTACTGCCTTGAACCCTAAATATACCGCATCATGAGTAACTTTATTAATTATGTAACAGACATTAATATTTGAGTTTCAGTCACTTCCTTATCGGGAGTCGAGAAGCTACGTGCGGTGTCCGTGGAGTTTAGCGCTGTGTCGGTGCAGTGGCTGCCGCCAGAGCTGCCGTGTGAACGTGTCGAATACAACATCTCCTACGCTGCCCATCCTTTCAACTCAACCATTGACGCAGTAAAAACATCCATTACAACAACACAATTGAATTACAACATCAGCACATCACCCAGAACTACTTACACAATATGCGTCATTGCTGTTTCTGATGATTACGCCAGTCAAGAGAACTGCATCGAGCAAACCACACCTGAAATCGGTTAGCAACTTATTGTTATTCTCACTGACTTATGTGATGAATTGGTCGAAAAGACAGCCAAATTACAATTCTGTACTAGACGATGAAATTATTGTATATATTGTATTAGTATATATTAATTCCCCATTCAGGGATTTATTTTTTTTTGTCAGCTCTGAAGGCTCCCGAGAATCTGACCCTGGTGTCAGCTATGGCCACCTCGCTGACAGTCAGCTGGATGCCTCCATCTAAGCAAGCTCATTACGTCAGCAAATACGAAGTTTCCAGCTTTGTCTGCAGCGCAAGTCATAACGCGACCAATAACTCCGTGAAAATATCAGACACTAACGCCAGCAACGACGCTATAATAAGCAGCAGCGCGAATAATGAGTCACAAATTTCCCCTACTAATCACGCCAGCAATAACGCTGAAACCAACAACACTGAAAGCATCAACACCAGAAAAAATGTCAGCTTCAGAGAAAGTTCGGAGGAACAGTTCGTCATCGTCTACAAAACAAAATCAAATTTCACGTCTGAGGCGCTGAGCGTTAATTTGACGGGGCTTTCGCCAGGGACAAAATACTGCATCACCGTACGGGTGAGCTTAACCGTAAATACTGCATCACCGTACGCCCCCCCCCCTGCCATAAAAATTGTTAATGCTAGTAGGGGCGTTATTGTTGTTTATTGAATAATGTTTCTGCCTTCATACTTCCTTTCGATATCTCATTTTGTTTGATTGAATTTAAAACTACTGGAAATAATGGTTTCCTGAATAAAAAATGGCCAAGCAAGGCTGCTCGTAATCTATGTTTGGGCAGTGGTGATTCATGCTAATATTTTTATTACACTTGATGAGGCGTTTAACATAGTTTTGTGGACAATATTTTATGCCAACATTTCCAGGGTGTTACGTCTTCTTCAAAAAAAGGCGCGGAAGCCGTTAAAGTTTTCCAAACCGACGAAGAAAACATTTTAAGTGAAGACAATCATATTATTGCGATTATTTGCGGCTGTGGCGCGGTGGCTCTCATCGTTATCATCGCTATCTTTGTGAAGAAAAAAAGACGTCCAAAAAAACCGTGGGTACAAATATTAAATAAAAATATGACACTTAGTTATATATATTTGCATCTTTCAGTACAAAATTACGAGCCATCTTTTAATTACAATTGAATAATAAGCAATATTCGAGCACTGGAGTTCTATCCCTTATGAAATTTGTAGACAGTGCATCTGACAACGGTGGATAATTTTGCATATCTGAAGAAAGTTATGGTTTTGAATTTTTACTCATGTGATGAAATGAATGTGACATTTATCAATGTGTGTTATGAAAGATCTAACATTTATCGCTACTTCAGGCAGTAGTTGTTTCTCGAGAGGATTCGGGAATTAAAATGAACAAATAACCCCTCTTTCCATCCGCATATATGATGACAGTTCATAAAACTTCTTTATACAAAATAGAAATCACCATAATAATGCATATTCAAATAAATTAAAATAGCGTTTTTTAAGGATCCATTAAAATCTTGCACCGACATTAAAAACCTACAATGCTTTTAACTCATTTTAAATTCATATAAATTCTTTTCTTAGCTTTATAAATTCTTGTCAAACCGCAGAATTATACATAATTAACATGAAGCAAGTTCGATAAGGCAATGAAATTTTGTTCTACATTTCAGGATTCATTACAAATAAGTAATTTTGCAATAAAAATTTAGACCTAGAATATTATTACTTTCATCCCAGGGAGCAGCGCGAGGAGATGTACTTTCAACAACTCATGACGAAATGCGGGCCGCAGAAATTAGGAGTAAGTATATTGAATTTAATATATTCACAAGGAAAATTTATTAAAATGATTTATCAGTGATAGACATGGAATAATTTATATTGCATCTGACGTATTGGTACGTTATAGGTAAATAACGTTGAATATGGTATTTGCACGATCTAAATATTGAAATGGATTTAATTTGATATTGATTAATTTCAAGGATTACGCTTTGAAGTTCAAGTATGAATAATAAACGCAATTATGAATAAAGGCCGCAAGATTATTTCTGACGCACAATCATGCGCACCGGAATCGTAATCACACTTGTTCAATCATAGCGTTCAATAGTAAAACTACTTTTAAATTTATTTGAAATTGGCTTTTTTGGATCAAAGTTTGAACACAATCGTAGCCTTACAAATGTGACTGACGTTGCATGTTGTGAGCTCAGAATTGTGAGGATATGTTTATTGCTTTCTTTTCAGATATTACACAAATAATTTCAGAGATTATTAAACGTTTAGGTATGTACATAAAGCCATAATGATTATTTATCTTATTTTCATAGATTTTAAAAGTAAAGAAAACACCAAGCAAATTCACCATATCGATATTGAAAACGTTTCGGAGTCCAGCTCCATCATCAGTTCGAAAAACTAAAAATTAATAAAATATGATTATATGATAATACGATTTTATTCATTGTTAGTTTTCGAACTGATGATGGAGCTGGACTCCGAAACGTTTTCAATATCGATATGGTGTATTTGTTTGGTGTTTTCTTTGCCTTCAAATTCGTTGTGAACTTGCGATATAAGCAGACTGATAATATAAGTACTTATCTTATTTTTATTTATTTATCATTACTCTATAATATGTAAAATCATCTTCCCTATATAATAACGATAATAATGATTATTATATCATAATATCATAATCGCCATAATATCATAATTATCAAACTAAATTAAAGTTTCGCGATACAGAAAATAATGGAGAAAGAGCTTCTCAGGAATGAATTTGCAGAACTCCAGAAAAACTCGCCAAGAAAATCTACGGAGGTTGCCTGCAGCCCTGAAAACAAGGCCAAAAACAGACGCGGCTTAAGTAAACCTTGTGGGTAACTAAATATAAACGCGCTAGCATCTGATTATAAATAATCTCATATGTCTCGAATAATCTCGTATGTCTCAAATAATCTCATATAATCTTATCAACCTACATGCATCCATAAAATTTGGGTGCGAGTAAGTTGAACTGTGCCAAGTCATTAAATTTATAAAGGCTGCTAGGGCGTAGCAACGTTACGTGTCTTGTAAAGATTTTACAGGAACCTAAGATTTTATTCTTAGTGATATATAATAATGACATGATGCTAAAGTAATAAATTCCATCATCATAACTAAGTAATACTGTTATGAAAAAATAATTAACTATTTTCTTTGACTCGTCGGTTATTCATTAATTGTAGTGTATTTAGGAGAAAAGGTTTGAACAACTTGATTTTAACACAAAAATGTCTTAGAGAAGCTCAAGACAAATGTAAAAAATAATGGATTTTGATATTTTATTGTTTGAAAGAATAAATTACAAACACACTTTAGATTCTGCTAAAAATAGGATTTTTTTGCCAATCCCTGCTGTGCTCTGTCCAATTATTGTCCTGACAACGATTTATTTGATTTTCATCTGATTTGACTGGACTCGCACTCACTGATTTGATAAGATTTTACTTTTATAAGCACCAATTAATTTGATTGCAACTTAAATAATTGCGCAACAGAAGATTACGTTCCTATGTGACATTTCTAATCAAAATTATGTAGCATAATTGACACTTACGACCAGTAAAAAGTTGTCACAAATGCCCATGACCTACAATATCCAATCAAAATTGAAGATTATAAAATAAACCTTGATCTGATGTTACATTTCAATTCTAATTATTTTTAAGTGTAAGTTAATAAAATAATCTAATATCTCCTAATAAATCTAATAAAATAATAACAATAATCTAATATCTCCTAATGAACATATTATCCACGTTGCAGTCGACGAAACCCGAGTTACGTTAACGGATGGCGTGGCGCTGCACGACTCCGACTACATCAACGCCAGCTTCATTCCTGTGAGTTCGCTTGCCGTGAACCAATTAAAAATATTCATGACTTATATAATTATTTTCCATATTAATAAAAAAGTTGCTTCGTTTCTTATCCTCTATTTAACAGTCGGAATACTCGGTTAGACAATTATCCCGGAGTGGAGGTAGATATTCATACATATTCTTTGTAAGATTACAGCAGATTTCGACTAAACAAGACTTTCGCGAAATACTCTAACCGTTTTCGGTAGGTTATTATTATTCAGTAGGAATAAACTAATAATGAATGTATTTTTTTATTTGAAATATCATAAATGAAATGGAAATTTTTTCTATTCCACGAGCAATGAGTTCAAATTTCATATCTCAAAATAAATTCTATAACCTATAGTTATAGACAAAAATTTTTTTTAAATTTAATATTTTTAACGCGTCTTTCAACAAAAATACGGAAAATATGTATGAAAAATATGAAATTTACGGCACGCTTTTCTTCTTAGATGATAAATTCAAAATATTTTACATAAACAAATTCTGTAATTTAACACTGACTCATAAATGTCATGGTCAAGTATTGGTATAAAAATTTATATTCATTTACATGATTAAAAATATTAGCGACGGTGAAATAATATTATATACTAAAAATTTCAAAACCGATCATGTAAACTAGTAAACCTTTGTTCCACGAATCAACTCTTTTGTCCAGTATAAATATTTTTAGAATTACTAATAATTATGAAGAGGGCACCTAAATTAATATTCTGATCACTCATCACAATCGATATGATTTCGTCCTAATTTTTAACCACTATCTCCTCATTGAATGTACTTTACTCCAGAACATCAGGTCTCCGAACCTGACGTTCATCGCGGCACAGAGCCCCACTGAGAGAACCACCGTCGCCTTCTGGCAGATGATCTGGCAGCAGAGCGTCAACCAGATAATCATGATCACTGAATGTTATGACGGACATAAGGTTTGTTCCATGTTTACGACGGAGATGAATTTTAATTATTAAAGAATTTTACGAGGAAAACAAGGTTGACTTAATATCACTGATTTATTTTGGTTTTCTTTGAGCTCTTTCATTTATTCTTTTTTTCTGTGGCAATTAAGTTTTTGCGCAAATCTCAATAATAGAATAACTGAAAATATTTTATTTCAAAGTAAACGCATAAATTATCTCAGAATATTCCGAGAGGGAATTTTATAAACTATATTTACACAGCTTTTCGAAGCGCCCATTTTATCAAGTTTTAAATACTCACCAAAGCTGATACAATATTTCCATTTCAAATTATCAGCTTTCCAATCACCTGGTAATATTTTTCACAGGTTCATTTATTAACTTATACCGTTTAAAAAAAACGATGTATCCCACTTAAAATTGACGGATGTATCCTATGTACAGGAATTATGTGCTCCCTACTTTCCTACTTCATATAATCCCGAAATGCGATATCCCCCCTTCACTATACGACTTGTTCAAGAGGAACAACGAGTGGAGCAAGTGTGGGTGGAGAGAAGCTTGGCCATCACATACGTGAGTAATACACTTGTATTGGTGTACAAACATTGTTTGAATATATGTTATCTCATTATATATAACGGTGATTACCGACTACAAGTGTCATCAAATTGATTTTGTTAATAAAGGTAATAAAATATGTTACGGTATCTCCGTCGACTATAAGTGTCCATATAAGTTACAACAGAAAATGAAGACATTTGTAATGGGGATTTCAACACATGAAAATAATTAAATTTCAGGGTTTCTCATCACCATTGATAATAATTAATACGCCAATCATTAACTCACAATTTAGTGTGTCTCGTTCCTATTAACTGTATTTAATTCCATCAATTTAAATTGATGACGTCACTTACAAGTGTACAATTAATGCTAAGTAATTAATCAATTATTTCAAACTAATAACTAAAATTTATTAAATAATTTTCTGATAGGAATCATCCACAAGACTGCTGAAGCATTTCCAGTTCATCAACTGGCCCCCGAACCGCAGACAGGTTTTGGGGCGTCCTGGAGAAATGCTTGTGCTGCAATACGAGGGACAGACTCTCCTGCAGCCCAACGGACAGTTCATGCCAGCCAGTGGACATATTATATCGCAGTCTGAAGGACAATGTACGTCGTCTGTTGGACGGAAGAGTCAGGTTTTCAACGATCAACAGCTGCCGTCTGTTGAGGAATTCTGTTGCTTTTTGCACGCTGTGAGAAAAGATGTCAACACAGATCGCAACACCACAGTTGTACACTGCGAGTAAGTACAGACAAGGAAGGTAAGAAATCTGCGATGATTTAGAGAGAGTTTTAAAGTTTTCGCCATTGACCACACATATTTTATCGCGAGTTTAGTGAAAATAAAAGACATTTTAACAAAAAAACGTTTTAATGTGATATGGCGGCCTTCCAGTAGTGATGAAGAAAGTTAAAAAGGCTTGATATCAATTAATTGAATCACATTTACAGTTGCTGGCACTCTATCACAACTAATACTAAATAATAATAGCATCCAATAATAATAACTATCCAATCCAATCCAATAATATCCAATCCAATCCAATCCAATCCAATAATAATAACCAAATCCATAACATCTACTAAATAATAACATCCTTAATACTCGAATCATTTCTTTTCATCAACGAAATTACGCGGAGTCCTTAATATTCATCTGTGTAAATATTGACCTTAATGAACAATATTTTATCCGCGACCGTTAATAATGGCTGTATACGTATGACGATGCTCATACATTACCATTCATCCATCCATTCACCTATGTAAATAATGACATAAATCCTTAATAATGACAGCACGGGCGCGGGTCGCACAGGCGTGTTCCTGGCCCTGTGGAGCGTCCAGTTGACGGCCGAACATTACGCGTCGGAGATCAACCTGGTCAAAATATTGAGGGAAATTAGGGAGTGTCGGGCAGACATGGTCCAGGACGAGGTGAGTGGCAGATGTTCTTAGGGAGTGTCGGGCAGACATGGTCCAGGACGAGGTGAGTGGTCATTGTCCAGGACGAGGTGAGTGGCAGATGTTCTTAGGGAGTGTCGGGCAGACATGGTCCTGGACGAGGTGAGTGGCAGATGTTCTTATTAATTTTGAACTGGAATGAAAACTATTATTTTTATCGATTCTGTAGCCTATATCTAAAGCTTTATTCTTCATGTATGGCAAATTTTCTTAATTTAGTTAGGATAAATAGTTAATATTCTTCATACTACTTGTGGTGTTTACTGTAATAGAATATTTATTATTAGAAACACTATAAAATGAGAAAAACAAAAATCATTAAAATGGTGCCACGTGATTATGCAAAATATATTCATAGATCGTTTTATTAATGATGGTTTCGCCATATTAAAAAGGTGAGCACCACGAAGTTGAGTTTCATTGTCAAAGTGAGCTTACAATGGATTGTCGTCTTCCCTAGAGTATATGTCCGATAGACACAAATATATATTGCTAATGTCTTATTGAAATGAAATGTCGCATTGACGATTTCATAAATAGATATTTTGATCCAATTTTCGTTCGTCACGATGACTTTTTAATGAGCAATTATAAGTTAGAACCATTTTGTATGAAGGTTAATCAGACAATATGAATTTCATTTGAAAGTGTTCAACATATAATTTTTTTAATTTGTTCCACAGTTACTCTACTAAAATTCTATTAAAATTTGTGAATTCTAAACTTGATCAGGCAGTTTTAGTTTGACTAATACTTAGGAGACTCCATTTCTCTTGATGAACCTTATATTTTTGTTTGAATTTACCTAAATTTCTTTATGAGATATCAATCGCTACATAATCTTTATTTCATTTCGTAATGAAATAGTGGCGATTTATAGTTGTGTAACATCAATTTGTAATAAATAATAATAATTTATCTTGATATTCAATGTTACAAAATTCAGACTGCCAATGTAAGAACACATGAAACAGTATTGCATAACTTCACTTCTTATTATTCTCCCACAGGACCAGTTCATCTTCTGGCACAAGTGCTGTCGCTTTTACCTCACGAGCGATGGCGGTGACGGTGGGTTATGTCTTCTTTTTCTTATCTATGCCTGACAAATAATTAATTTACGCAATAATTTACCGAGGAGAAATGAATCGTATCTCAAAAAATATAAGTATTAGCAGCCTTTAACACAAATGTTAATAATACACAATAGCATACGATATACGAATGTTCACAACAATGGCTATACAATATTTGTCTGGTCAGAACGATGAAATATCAATCAAATTAACTAGATTGTGAAAAGATCTCAAATATTATTTCGCCAAAGTGCAATAGTCCCATTTCAGTCGTCAGTTAGGGAATATCATCAAACACTGTTATCTAGCATATAAATTGAAAATGAAATAATACATTTGGTATTCTTTTATATATCATACAGTGTCAGTTGCTAAACAACATTAAATTTTTACGAGCAATTATAGCTTGAATAGGGTTTATGCAATAGAAACACGCAATCTGCTTATATATTTATTTACACCCCTCTATTCTAATTTTACATAATTCCCTTATGACCGAGACATACTTCTTACACTTTCTCATTTATTCCACCACAGAACTTAACTCCACAACACCAGCTTCACGATGTTCCTATGGAGCAGACACCGGATACCAAATGCAGCAGTTGTTATGATCTGAGATGACGCGATCAAGTTTTTTTCTTGAGGAACGAAATAATTAATTTATGGACATCTCCAGCGTTTCAGTGTCGATGAAATAGGAACGTCCATTTCCACAACAATTTCTAGTTTGTTTAGTTTCTTCTGTAATTTACTCGTTTCAAGCACATGGAGCATATATTGATTTTCATTATTGGCGTTGGATTTTCGCACTAATGATCATGTTCTAAGCATAGTAATTTCTGAAGTGACCGACAATTAACAGTGACCGGTAATCGTGATTATGATATTTCATATTCTAAATTAATCTATTAAATATATGTATTTCAATGACTTTAGTGACCGGCAACTATCTTCAACCATTCTCTTTACTCCAAAGCAATGAACAATTTTCGATTGTACAATGTCCTTCATTCATTGCACAATGCCAACTACTCCACTCGATCACTAAATTGTAAATTCAGTGCAAAATTTAGTGTAGCGAAATATAAAAAGAACATCTTGGAATGCGACACTCAAATCAGAATAAATATTCGATAGATGTAACATAAACAACTGTAGATGTGTTCATATGGTATCAATTTATTTTATTATATTTTCAGGTATCAAGGTATCAATTTATATCATTAATTTATGTTTATATTAAGTTATCATTAGTTTATGATTATATGAATTTCATAGTTTTATTTACTTTAGTGATTTCCTTTGCTGATCATTACCTGATATGATTGAAGACATGTTATTAACGAGCTGAACATGGATCAGTTCATATATGAACGTTGCAAGTAAGTCAGTTCAATGATTAACCCAAACATGGACATTCATTTCCTTCCTGATATATTTTGGATCCGAAATTCTCATGTTATTCGTTGGAAAAGAGTTGTAAACAACATTATCTGCATTTATGAAATTCGCTAGTTAGAGGTTGGTACCATTTAGTGAGACATGATAATCACGTATATCGTAACAACTATAATACAGTTTTTCTCTAATATTTTCCGGTATTGGGATTGTGAAAAAATCTTAAAATTCCGGTTTTAATAGTAAAATCTATTAAACATATTTCATTTCTATTACATAAACTTACAATTTATTCCTTCTATTGAACTCATTCAATTAAAAGAAATTCAGCACGTAAAATGAATTTATATATTTCACATAAAATAGGAAATTTTTAATACCATATTGAAGTTAATTTAGATTTTCTTCGATTTGTAACAATCGCCAAGACGATACTCGCATATTCAGGACAGAACACCAGAATTATATTTCAAAGAATCCAACACTCAGGGTAAGTAGTGAACGATCCTCAATTTAGACGCATAATAATTCAATTTATTGGACATCAACAAGACATTGTAGCCTTAAAACTTATTTAGAGGTTATGAAGGCGTTGTTTTTGTCTGGTAATTCTTCATAATTATATTATTAGAATAATGATGATATATTATATATATTTCATTTTTATATGACTAATAAAAATGTATAATATGTTCTATCCTGTTGTTTATAATAATAACAGAATGAGGCAAAGTTTGAGTGCAGTCTTTTTGGTCGCCACACTGCAGGAAGCGTTTTACCTCTTATATGCAAAAATATCGGTCATCTTGAGCAGCCGAGCAACTACAGGAGCATCGTTAGACCAGTATTAGATGTTGAGTCAAATTTTCGTTTTCAGAAAATTCTCAAAAAATATTACAGCATAGCCTGTATTGCATACTGATATTGAACACCTCAGCACCTAGATTAAGGTTTGGTTCTCATGTTAGATATGGTTCCCCTCAACTTGAACTTTCAGAAAATCCATTTATCATATATTATATCCATAAAATAGTTGACAGTTATAAAAATTGAAATATATAATCCTCTTCCTGGAATATGAATTATTGTAACTCTAATTGCAATCGCTCCTGAGGTTCAAAATAACAAAAAAAAGCTTTATTTTCATGAGTTTCATGAAACTAAATTTAGTTTCATGAAACTAAATTTAGTTTCATGAAATTAATTTCTATAGGAAATTAATTATTCAAACTGGCACCTTATAAAAGAAATATTGAAAAATTCATAGGCATAGCGAATCGGAATCGCTGTATGTTTGATGAGATAAAGGCACCCAAAATGAATTAATTTATTTAATTAATTTTTTAATTTTAAAAAACAGTTCCTGTTTTTTAAATATAATGTTAGGTCTTGTTTAGGTTTTATGTCTGTCTTAGAACTTTGATATAATAATTTGATTTTATTCATTTTTAGTTTTTTTGAACTGATGACGGAGCTGGACTCCGAAACGTTTTCAATATCGATAAGGTGAACTGGCGACATAAGCAGACTGATAATATAAGTACATTGGGGGGAAATAAATATTCGTACACTTGAAAAATCGTATTTTAATGTATGTAAGTACACAAACTTAACAGGAAAAGTGATTTAAATTATTAAGTGAACATGTTGCATTGTTTTTTGTTGCATTGAGATTTAATTTCTTTTGATAGTATTTTTGAATACTATGCGTCTCTATACATAATTTAAATCACTTTTCCTGTTAAGTTTGTGTACTTACATACATTAAAATGCGATTTTTCAAGTGTACGAATATTTATTTCCCCCCACTGTATCTATAGTTCTTTATATATAGAGTATCCGATAAAAAAAACAGTTCTTTTTCTGATATCATCGGATATTATGAATAGAATTAAACCCATTTAGCGTTTTTTCAATATCACTCCACGATGAAACAACGGTGCCTTGATATATGGAACAGGCTGCATACTATCAGTGACAAGTAGATCAGCCCCTGATTATCGTGCTTGAGATAACACGTCCGATAACCTTACGATGCAGTCAGCGTTAGTATCTTAGCCATACGTGCTCCAGGAAGGTGATTTGTTGGATGAATTAATCCACGAAGCTAATTAAAATCTCAATAATTTGATGCTTCTGTGTAATTAATAGTGGTAGGATACCAAAATATTCACAATTAATATTTCAAGTTTATGTCGATGTTTAGGAATTATAGCCAATTCTATGTATAGTTTTGTTTAATTAAGTGGAGCGTCTGGGAAAAAAATTTATCTACGGATGGTTCACTTTGAAACTGGTACAGATATGTAGAACAGAAACCTAGGACTTTTTTGTTCGTGGAATTTGCTCGAAAAAAGGAATGAAACCGTGAAATTCATAGAAAACGGCAAAAGAGGGTAAAAATCTCCTCATTCAATTAGCGTGCTAAAACATCTAGAGACATATCATTTGATTCGTAAACCTGTATATCTAGCGATCAACCGGTCATTTTTACAATTTTATTAATGATTTTTTTTCTGATTTCTTCAATTTCCACCCCCCCCATTCACCGTTTTTCAATATATAATTCACACTATAACGAATTCAAAAAAAGTGATCGGCTGAACTCTAGATATTTTTTACGAATCGAATGGTGTATCATTCAATGCTGGAGCGTGAAAATCACAGGAGGTGATAGATTGTAAAGATCGCTTATTCGGAAATTTTATTTTTCAGAGTAGCCAAATATGTAATCAAGCCAAATCAAATTGCTTGCTTATCAAGCCAAAAAATTGCTTGATATTGTAGCCCAAGAATTCCCATTGCCAATTAGTCGCATTTAGAGTACAGCACGCGTCGTTATACGTATTCTTGTCCAGTTTAATTTGAATAATAAGCTATAGATGTGACTTTTTTATATTTTATAAATATATTTATGTATAAAAATGTTAATTTCGTATAGTTCAAACCGGCCGAACGCTAAAAACGTTGCATGTACATCCGTGCTATATATATGCTTTCTTGAACGCGCTTCGTTTGTTGCTTTCAAACGAGTGCAAACACTTTGAAATTACCGCGAATAACGATCTATAGATATAATTTCATAAAGGAAAATTTGTAAATATCGTTGAAATGGTCTTTTATGCAAGTTCAAAACAGCCTTACGCAAAAACTATTGCATGTAAATCCATGGTATTAATATTGTCGAACGCGTCCTGTTTGTAGCTTTCAAACGAGTGAAAGCACTTTAAACTCAGCGAGAATAATGATCTATAAATACAGATGTATTCAAAAAAACTCTGACATATTGTTAAAAAATTTCCATTTTATATATTTTTGGAATATCTTTATGTACAACTAGAGCACACACATACATGCGGTTTGCTGTGTGAGACGCGCCTTTTCAGCAGCTACAAAATGAGCGAAGAAAACGGAAAAGCCAATATTATCGACTTTTTTAACCAGACCCTCTCCTTATCCTACTCAGTCTTGCAAAAATATATACAACAATGATTTCAGGGTTGCTACGATAATAGCGAAAAAATATATATCCAACAATTTTTTTTAGCAAAAATTTAGTTGTATCGAAAAAGTTATTTCCATCAAGTATCCATTGCTTTTATGTATAGAACAACTGTTATAAGTAAAAAAACGAAATATACATGACTCACTCATTTGATTTTGCATTTTTCACTGCAAGTGGGATGAACTCGGTCATGTAAACATTGCATATAGGAGTTGTATATAATGCACTAGAATTGAAATATTACAGACGCTTTTACAAAAACTTTTGTTATGTTACCTAAATGCTTACTGATCCTGTTCTTTATTTCACCACCTGCGAATTTATTACAAGCATTTTCAATGAATCTATCTCTCTCATGGTTTTTTTCTTCCCTTGAACTTATAGTTAACAGAGTCAATGACTTTTTTCCCGTCTCTTACCCGATGTGATGCAGCTGTACTTAACACTCGCCTTCATTTACTTGGTGCTGCAGGTGAGTCAAAGTTATGATAGAATACTCAGAATTTAATTGTTAGCGTCTCATCATGACGTTAGTTATATTACCTCGACGCCGCAAATCATCATAATGAGTTTCTCAAACGGTATGGGTGGAAACTTATATCGGACGAACTTCTTTCGTTCTGTGGAAAGATGAACAATTTGCCAGTTACTGGATCACTGTGCGACCCCGTTGCGGGGTATCACCCAATTTTATCAATATAATCTGACGCATAAATGATGGGGTTAACGCTTCTCAGTCCAATTTCAGTTTCCTCGGCTCTCTGTGAGCTTATTAAAGCTAATCGTTCTTATTATCAGAAGACAACTTAAATTTAACATCGGGTATAAAAATCGGGTATAAATCGGGTAAATCGGGTATAATTCACGAACTTTGATAGTATTCGATTGATTATAGTTGCCTTCTTTTATTTTTTGAACTAATAATTTTAGGTTCTTAGGGAAGCATACTTCAGGTATAATAATAGTAATCATAGGTTTGTGAGCTAGGATGCATACGAACGTAGCATTGGAAAGAATGTTGAATTTCATAATCGTCCCACACGCAACAAACTATTTACTTACTAAAACTATTTGCGGATAGTTTTAGTAAGTAGTAAGTTTTTAGTAGTAAGCGGATTGATTTCTTCGAAATGAAAATATCTAGGTCCGTCAGGTGTTGAGTGCTATTTAAACAAACTTTACAAATACTTCACACTCCCAATTGCAGAGAATAGCTTTGCCGTCTCGTAGGGACTTCAGTTTAGAGCAATCTCATTTATTGAATTGTGGTATTCATTTCGCTTACGCTTCATCGGACTCACTTGGGATTTTTTAAACTTATTACAGGCGTTTATTTTCGAAAAAACAGATCTCCGTTTAGAGATTTACATTTGATTCTAGTTTGAAGGTATGAACTCTCTTGACTTCATTTCACAAGGAAAACATCCACGGCAGAAGAAAATTTTGGAGATTTTTCTACTTGCACTCATTTATGTGTCTTTTCTTTTCATTAGATAAATGTTATAAGGACTTTATTTGTTTTAACGTAATAATGAAAACTTTAATGACTTGATCAATAAACATTAATCCTCTTAATTAATGCTTTTCCCTGCACGAAAATCCTTCAGGACGCTGAGTGATCCTGAAGGATTTTCAGTCAATCTTTCAGGATCCTAAAATCCGTGAACATTAGCGTTCACGGTTTTTAAACTCGCGTATATATATATGTGCAGGAAGCATCCATCCAATGACCTGCATTTTATACATTTTCGAACAGAAACTCCCTCTGTAAATCAGCTTGTCTTAGATCCTGGTCATGCCAGATATATAATTTGGTTCTTTTCTCAACCGAAATTTTTTCTTAATTTGAGCTTTTAGCTGAATTTAGCTGAAAATTAAGAAGTAGTCATTGTCGGTGACTCACTGTGTGCGAATTTTATTTTGTACATTTTGAAATGATTTAATCTCAACAGTATTTTAGAGTTAACAAAATTTCAGGTTATTTTACAACTGAAACAGTTCATCATTTTTCAGCTGACAGCCTATTCACTTATTATACAGTTAACAGAATTATTTTGATATTATGATGGCAAGTTCTAACTGCCGGCAGCCCTTTTGTTTATTTCACAGCTGACTGCATTCTTTATTTTTATTGTTGACTGCATTTATGATTATCCTACAATATTTTACAGCTGATTCATGGCGGGCACGTCGCATCCAGTAACAGCTGCCGGGAGGAAAATTTTGCAGGTGAAAAGACATCTTCAATGGCATTAATTTAAGTTTTAAGTAAATGGATTATTTTTATTAGAATGAAATTTAACATTTTTTATTTATATTATCTAATTCAATATCAATTGGTTTCAATGTTAAAAAGTTTCAATCCGTGAGATAGATATTAACAAAGTTTTACACAGGTAAAAATATTATATTCAATACACATCACAACACCTAGGATGATGACGTAATATTGTCAGTAGAAACGTTCGACATATTCTATAGTAAATAATAGAGAACGATTTTCTGATAACTGAATAATCATACATCATAGAAATGGTTATGGAAACAATGAATATTTATAATGAAATTCATTTTTAAACTATAACGGAAACCTTCCCTACGCATGGATCGCATAATATATGTGGAATGAACAAATATTTTGATTACCAAAATATGCCGAAATTTTCCAGAAATCTCCCGGGGCTGCAATTTATCGCACTGCTTAATAGTTCAGACAAAAATTCATCCAGTGAAACACTCGGAAATTGGAAACATGGATGAATTTTGTGGATACTCCTACAACACCATGAGTGACACACAGATCCCTCCTCACAAAAGTTACTCAGAAATGCAAGAAAGAATTAAGAACTTGCCATCTTGCAGTGAATACGATGAGATCGTAGCGTTGTTTTATCCCAACGGAAGCGTGGCGGCTAGGCCATTAACAGAGAGGCATGAAGTCGCTGCATCTAAAGGTGAGTGAAAATGTGATCTTTTTAACTAAAGTTTTGACGAATGTACGTTTTTAGATACGCAATTTTGTTCAAGTTATTTAGTTTACGAATTAAACGTGACCAACGAATTAAAAAGTTATTTTTTTCGAATTTCAAATATAAAATTTAATAAAAATATTAGTGTGCATAAATAATTACTTATCGATATAAGCAAAAATTCATATTAAATTACTAATTTAATATGAATGGTTGTTTGTTATTTATATGAGAGATTTTACTGATGTTTGATTATAATCAAATAAAACTTAGTTGACACAAGTACGAAGCAAATCGGAAATTAAATTAATGTGTGCTTTTTTTGGTGATACTCAAATAAAACATGAAACTTTTAACAATACTTTTACCAAAACTTGGACATATTCTCAACCATTCATAACAAAATAACTCAATTTTCGAACGTAGCAAAGTTTTACGCGATTGTGTTGGCCGGTTTTAAGGTTGATATTGCTTAATATCATCGCATTGCCATGCTAATTATAAGTCAGTTTTTTTGTCAAAATAATTGATTTGGAAGTCAATTATTCTCCAACACATATATAATCATATAATCAACAATTATCGTTATTCGATCGAAAGTTCTAACTTTCAACATTGTTTCTTCAACATAAGCACAATACAGAGCGCTTTATTCATTCAGCAAAAAGAACCATTCCTTTATGACACACCGTTATGATATATACATTCGACATATAAACATTAAAGCACATAATGTTTTTTCCACAGCAGAACCGCCCGTTAAAAACCTGACCGTCACAATTGACAATCGTGACGTCCTGATCGCTTGGGAGCCTCCAGTTTCGCTATGCCCGATAACCTCCTACAAGATTTCCATCACCTACACCGACCCGTCAACATTCCCTGATCACCACAAGGAAATTGTTCACTTGAACGCCTCATTGCAAGATCACCAATACCGCATCAGCGCCGCGCGTGCCGACGCGCTGTATCATGTATGCGTGGCAGCTGAAATAAATCTTTCAGTGAGCGCTGAACAATCCTGCGTAAGAGTTAAAACTCCTGGTAAAGGTGGGACTTTTTTGTTAAAATCACCAGATAATTCAATAGCGCGAAGAAGCCAAAAAAATATAACCCATCAGATATTTTTAAACTCATTTGATGTTGAAAAAACTTTTCTTAACGTTATTTCTACGAAACTCACTCGCAAGCAAGTTGTTCTAACGTCATTTGCCTGGTGGCAAAGCTGTTGAAGATGTACTTTGAGAATATTTTCCATCATATATGTTAAATATCGTCGGCAATTGTACATTATTATTTATTGGTTATTATTATTGACGGAGCATTGGAGTAAGCAGAAAGTTTTTAAAATGAAACATAAAAATTCGGGGAGCAAACTTATCACGTGCGTTCTAATCGGAATTCTCTTTATATTTACAAATCAAAATAAAAGTCTGCTGCATAGGGTGCAGAAATAAAATTACATCTACATATTATAATTACTCAAACTAAATCTAGACGAAAAATTATGTTCTTATTATCACTAGTCAAATCAAACATCTTAGAAAATAATCATGTTCATTTCATCACTAGTTTATTTAAATGACTTACAGAGAAAATTTGTTATTACCATCACATACAGGTCTGAGTAAATTTAGAGAATGAATTAGCTTTACTATTACCATCCCATTAAAATTTCGGAGATATTATTATGTTCATACTATGGCTAATGTAATTCAATATAGAGAAGATTTATGTTCACACGAACGCTAGTCATATTGAATGTTTAGAGAATTGTTATTTCCACACAATCAATAGTCACACTAAATATCTAAGGAATTATGTATGTTCACTTTCCTTGTATTGCGTAACTATGATGGCAAATTTTTTTCCAGCGCTGCCAGCGCCACGGGACTTGAGGCTACTGAACAGCTCCAGCACATCCCTGAATGTGGCGTGGCAACCACCAGACGACATAAGTTCGGATGAGGAATTGGATTCTAATACGTACCTGGGAAGACGGGAAATCAAAATATCGAACTTCGAGATTGCAGTGCAAGATAATACTACGTCAAATGCTCCAGTTCTTACATTTTCATTACCAGGAGACTTCAAGACATTTATTGTCGAGCAGCTGAAGCCTGAGACGCAATATCATATTGCTGTTAGGGTAAGAAATTCTACTCGTGCTGTGGTTGGGATTCAAAGATTAACTTTCCGATGGAAGATTTACTTGAATTAAATTCAATTTAACCTATACATGTAAAAGTTATAGTGATCACAATGGATTAATTCGATGGTACTCGTTGGTAGCTTTGACACGAATGAAGTTAGACCTTCCTTAATCACGTTAGACCTTCCATAACTCAATAATCAGTTTCCAGTGAAATGTTAGAGATTATTGAATGTTTTTCACAAACAAGCTTGTAGCGCAGTGGTAGCGGCCCTGACATGAGAATAGCTATCCTTTGAGCCTTGGGAAGCCCCGTTCACTAACATGTTGATGCCTGTGGCTGATGTAGCGTGATGGGTGTCGAAGGCGGTGCATCAGCATGGTTTTTCGTAATGCCTCCCCTTCATCTTACGGTTTTGAGAAGAGTGATTTAGGTTTCTTGCAGATTCGATTGGCTATGAGATTATAATTTTTTCTATGTTTTTTAAAAAATTGTAAGGCATTTTCTGATAAATTACAGAAACGATAGGAGATATTTCTGAGCACCTCATTGAATGTTCAAACTAAATATTGCGATCGTAAACTTAGCGTAAACTTTAAAAAACTTCAAATTGACCGTCGTATTGTGTATTAAATCTATGACCTGTGAACTAAATGAATACAAGTATTGAATTAAATTTAAAATAAAGTTATGACACTTTATTCGCAAATTATAATTATTTTAATATACAATTAAGAAAAACTTTGCCTGTTGCAAATAGAAAGTAATTTATAATCATTATCCACTCAGGCCAACTACGAAGAAGGAATGGGACCTTTCACTGGCAAAATTTTTTCGACTGGACCGAGGGAAGATTCCACACCAAGTGAACATACAGACATCGCAGTCAGTCCTGCTGCTGTTCAGTCTAACATCGATGAAGATAATTCTCGTGACAAAACAGGAGAGAATTCCGACTGTGGAACAGGAGATATGAATCCAGGAACGCTCCTCATTTTGACTCTAGTTGTAGCCTCAATGTTCAAATTAGTAGAAAATCCCTTTTCATTGATTTGAATTTTCTGATATTTCATACCCAATCTATACAAAACTTCGAAACTTCAAATCTAATTTGAAACCTCCGAGCATTCCACTTAGCAAATAATAGAAGTGAACTGCATTAGTCAGAACCCGATGTGATCGAGGTTCATTCTTGCGCATCTAAATTGCATAACGCTTAATTTGGTTGGCTAGCGGACAATAATTCATTTCTTTAGTTAAACTTAAATCATAGAAAAGCCTTTAAAATCGATATGTAATTGTAGCCTAGTTTATTGTTCACAATGTAATAATTTTAGTTGTGGTTAGCTATTGAATGAATTTATCATTTTTTCGAAATGACAATGATAAAAGACTGCCAAAATAAATGTAATAGCGAACATATTTTTGTCAAGAAAGAGTATTACGAAAAAATTTTATATTTTAGCTTCTGAACTCACAATGTCTCACCACAATTACTGAACAATTTTTAGATCTCATTACAATCATGGAAGATATTATTATTTTTATTAGTCGTCAATCATAGCTATATTTATCGAATTAATAAATTTGAAAAATAATTGATATTAATCAATCAAATCAGTAGTAATTACATATGTATTTTGAAATATTTAAATCCCCCTAGAGAAATATCTGGAGCAATAGGAAGTAAGAAAGTGTTGATGAGTAGTAAATGATTTTTGTCAAATCCTTCATTTTAAAATTAAATGCTCAATATAAACTCGTGGCGCGGGGTATGTCATGAATTTGTGTGTTTTTCTCGTAACTGCAGTTTAGGTTGAGATTTATCCTGTGATTTTACCTAAAGTAATTATTATTCATAAATCACTATAAGTTGAACAAGTTTCATTAAATTTAATTACTCACTTGATGAAAATTTTAGAGTGATTTTTAATAATAATAAAAATAAGTGATTTTTAATAATAACGACAAAAATGCGTTTAAAAACTAATCTGAATTTGTAAGTTATAATGACTTCGAGAAACATCATTTTCCAAGAATCGGTATTATTGTCTGTGTAAACGCTGTAGAATGAAATAGAAAATAATAATAAACTGTTTGTAATAAAAAGAAAATTTTTCATTACTATTACCAGAAAAATTTACTCATATTAAATTGCATTGATGTTAATATGAATTTGGTAATAACGAATAACATGGGAAATAATAATAAACAATTTGCAATAATAACAACTTTTGTCATTACTATTACCTGAAAATCTTGCTTATATTAAATTTCATTGATGTAAATATGAATGTGGTAATTATAATTTTGATGATAATATATCAATACTACACTGGAAGTTGTAGTTTTCATTATTTGATCAAAATGGAACATTCTTTATGAGTCGCGCTGCGTAATGATGATCTAATATATTAATATATAATATTTTTTACATTGCAATGAATCGCGCTCTAATGAACGCCATGAAAGAGTGGTTCAATACAGCCATTTGTGATCCACGTTTCCTCATTCTATAATAAGCTTAGCCTCGGAATATGCTGAATTTTAGGCATTGAATAATGAAACGAGTAACAGTTAAATTAACAAATTAAAGGAGGTTCGGCACACCTATACAGCTCAGCTAACAGAAAAATCGCTTGTAATTAAGCTTTCACAGGTGAACTATGAGTGTAAACGTCAATATTATAGGAGTGAAATACTATTTATACTATACTATACTATACTATACTATTCTATACTATACTATACTATACTATACTATACTATACTATACTATACTATACTATACTATTCTATACTATACTATACTATACTATACTATACTATACTATACTATACTATACTATACTATACTATACTATACTATACTATACTATACTATACTATGCATGTAAACGTCAGCATCAAAGTGATGCGTGATGTTGCTCTTTGACTGCATTCTTATTCGGACTGCGACAGCCTGCAGCACTAATCGCCCTATCAGTTCGAAGATAAGATAATTCGAGCGACAACGCGACAATGTCACCCGCTTAGTTTCTTCAAGTCATGTGCAGCAATGAGGTGTTGCTTGTTTCAATATTGAAAATAATTCTATCATCGGCCGAATATCTAATTTGTTCTTTATATCTTTCATGTTATATATTTGAAATGTTATTGTTTTCGAAACTTTCTGAAATCCAATTTATATTGAGAAAACTGCTGTTCTCATCTATGGGACTATGTAATTATTCTTTAAATTAAAGCTTTGGGTCGGTGGTTATGAACAACGGCTGATGATATTACCAGTCCCAATTGAACCATTATCCTGTATTTGTAATTGATTTTTGGAGTTAAATAAAATGATATAGTTTATTTAAATCATTAAAAATTCTTTACACGGATCATTTTATCGTTATACAAGTATGATGAATGTTTTATTGAAATAAAATTATAATAAATGGTATTTCCAGTCAATTTTTTTCTTAAATCAACTATACAAGAAACTGAAATTTCGGGCGTTAATTGTAACTTATAAATTTTTTTTTTATATTCCAGCTACGAATTTGTAAAGCGAATCTGTCCATTCAACTGCTTGGAGTGAACGATGACTGCGACGGCCTGTTTTAGTCTTTTTGCTTCCATTATAGGTTGTACTCTTCATTTCTCATGATGGATCAATTAAATTGATGATGCTACTTCATGTTAATAATGTTGGTCTATAAAGCTGCTGTCATCATATGTGCGGCAGTGCTGGTGAGTAAATTTTGGTAACACAATATAGCGTAAAGCTGTTCTGATTAGTTTATTTACATGTTCAGTAACATAAAAAGACATATCGGCAGTATTAATCCTCTTTTTGACTACATGAATGAGGTCATATGAGCGTAGTTATAAATTTAAGTGTGTATTATTAATATATTTTTCTTGTAAAGTGTAATACAGAGTTATGTTTGAATTTATTTTTAATTTTAAAGACTATATATTATTATTGATGATAATATTTCCTTAATTATAATGAATATTAATAATAACCGAATATTATTTTAGCAATAGTCATTAACATCATATTAAATAGTCATTAACATCATTAACATATCACAAAACTGAGGGGACACAAACTACTGGTCTGGTAACCGAGGAAAATTAATAGTAATCAGAACATTGTAATTATATTGCTTTATGTGTTTATAAGATATGTTCTATGACACGTACTATGAAATGTAACATGACATGTAGTATACACAATTGTGTCTATAAGACATATTAAGCATAAATTGCCAGGTTGCTTGGCTAAAATGTCGAAATGTTCTCACCGTCTGAAGACGTCAACATACCGATGATATCGCAAATTTGAGCAATTTGCTCTCAATGCTTCATGCTCTTTAATTTCAAATTCCAAGTCAATTTTCCTGCTTTTCCGATTTCTCAGTCAAAACCAAAAGAAGCCTGTCGAGCTACAATGCATTACAGATTCTTGTACACAGTATCGCCCGCGATTATTACAGAACAATATAGGAAAGAGACTTAAATAATGTTCAGCAATTTATCATGAACAAAACACCACAAATATATAATAATTTGGGAATAATAAGACGATATTCATCACGTGGTTCAGTGTATGGCGCACTCAGACAAATGTGTGAGACTTTGACCAAATCGCAAAGCATTTTCACCCTTGTGTAGCTCATGCAGACACAGAATAAAATAAATCAAGATAAGGATTTTAAACTTTTCCAATATCTTCGTTAATAAAATTTCGTTAATTCAATTTTAATAAACACGTACCTTCCTGTACGAGTACAAGGGTTTAAACAAGTTAGCTTCATATATTCTTTGATTCATGCCATTTTGGATTCCTTCCAATATCACTAAAAATAGTTATTGCTAATAGAATTAATATTGGTGCTGAACATCTTTTTTATATTTTATTAACTGGAGGAAATTGTCCAAGGTATCGGTTAATTGGAATGTTTCAGGAATAAACTACAATCATTGCGAATCAAATCCTAAAACAATTTTATTTCCGCAGCTGATAAATGGCGGCCACACCTCCGCCTTCAAGTCGAACTGCCGGCGGGAAGATTTGGGAGGTGAAAACTATTCTAGAACATTATTAATATCAATAACATTGAATTAATTTAATAGTGAATCGCGCTGAATAGACGAGAAATTTATAGTTGTGAAGCATAAAGTTAAGAGGATATTTTGAATGGTGAACGTAATTATTCTAAGATGTAAAAGTGTTGATAATAAGATCATTTGTGAAATTGAAATATATATTTTTGGAGCATCCAGTAACATCATATTAATTTTGTTTTGGTGGAAAATATTTTACAATCTTCTTTTGTTACGTACTATTTTCAAACACAAGCAAAATTTTCACGCTTGCCATGCATTGATACCATAACATTTGAGCATAAAAAATATTCTAATAAATTGGCTGAAATGCGATTACTGCAAAACTTTACTTTAAACATAGTTTTTATGAAAAATAATCGAAATTAATGTCATTATTCACGCGTTTTCAGAAATCTCCCAAGACTGCACTTCACCGCAATGCCTCGTAGCTCAAACGAAGATATATATAAAAAATCCATTGAATGCCACGTATGATGCCGAATTCTGCGGATATTCCTTCTCCACAATGAGTGACGCCAGCTCTCTCCCCCACCCGAGCTACGCGCAAATGGAAGAAAAGTTAAGAAATTTTCCCCCGTGCACAAAATACAAGAAAATTC